TAGCACCTTCGAAAGTTCTATTTCTTCGAGTATGTAGATAAATTGAAAACACTATCCAAGTAATAAAAGCCCAAGTCTCTTTAGGATCCCAACTCCAATAAGATCCCCACGCTTGGTTCGCCCACAAAGCCCCCGAAAGTATTCCTATGGTTAAAAAGATAAACCCTAAACTAATAACTCGATAACTCCAATAATCCAATTCTTTACTTAATTGAATCTTATAAAAATTTTTAGCCGAAAAAATATAATTCATTTTAAAAATATTTTCATTTTTTTCTAAAGGTAATGACCATAAGTGCTACTGATAATAAGGAGCCACATATAAGAGCTGCGTAACCCACTATCATCATACTTACGTGCATTATTAACCACTCAGATTGAAGAGCGGGGACTAATATTGAAGATTTTTTAATTTCTGTGAAAAGACCCGAAGTAGCAAAAGCCTGGATACAAAAATTGATTGGGCTTATTATTGTACTTAATAATTTTGTATTTTTTTTTAAATAGGAAAGGCTATTAATAAGAGCAAAACTCCAGGAAAGAAAAAGCAAAGATTCCGATAAATCACTTAGTGGGAAATGGCCCGACGAAATCCAATGAGTAGCTAATAATCCTGTTATACATAAAAAAGTTATGAAAATGCACTTTTCTGATGAATTAGAAAGTTTTATGTTTTCATCTACAAAAAAGATTTTCAAATAAATTTTAATTAAAATAGAAACGAGTATTATTGAAAGTGAAATATTAGTTAGTATATGTTCTAAGGTTGAAACTATCATAAAAATAAAAAAAAAATAAGATTTTAACTCCGAATTAGATAAGAAAAAAATGAAAAAGAACAAAAGATTACTCTTATTTTTTATGCCGCTACTCGGACTCGAACCGAGATGCGCTAGCACTGCTTCCTAAGAGCAGCGTGTCTACCAATTTCACCATAGCGGCATGTTATTTACTTTCACTCATATATTTCACCCATTTATAGAATTTATCGAAACGATAATTCGAGTGATGGGCGAACGACGGGAATTGAACCCGCGCATAGTGGATTCACAATCCACCGCCTTAATCCACTTGGCTACATCCGCCCCCGACTAAACTATGTTATTTTCAAAAAGGAATCAATAAAGGAGCAATAACCGATTTCTTGTTCTAGACAAGAAGGCGGAATTGCTCCTTTATTCTATTTTAAATAGATTCTCTATCTATATACTAAGAGACGAAGTCTCTAGCCATTTGTAGCTATAACTTGGATAGCAGCTAGGTCTAGAGGGAAATTGTGAGCATTACGTTCATGCATAACTTCCATACCAAGGTTAGCACGATTAATTATATCAGCCCAAGTATTAATTACCCGGCCCTGGCTATCAACTACGGATTGATTAAAATTGAAACCATTTAGATTGAATGCCATAGTGCTGATACCTAAAGCAGTGAACCAAATACCTACTACAGGCCAAGCAGCTAAAAAGAAGTGTAATGAACGAGAATTATTGAAACTAGCATATTGGAAAATTAATCGTCCAAAATAACCATGAGCGGCTACTATATTATACGTTTCTTCCTCTTGGCCGAATCGGTAACCTTCATTAGCCGATTCATTTTCTGTGGTTTCCCTGATCAAACTAGAAGTTACCAAGGAACCATGCATAGCACTGAATAGGGAACCGCCAAATACACCAGCTACGCCTAACATATGAAATGGGTGCATAAGAATATTGTGCTCAGCCTGAAATACAATCATGAAATTGAAAGTCCCAGAGATTCCTAGGGGCATACCATCAGAAAAACTTCCCTGACCAATTGGATAGATTAAGAAAACTGCGGTAGCAGCTGCAACCGGAGCGGAGTATGCAACCGCAATCCAAGGGCGCATACCCAGACGAAAACTAAGTTCCCACTCACGCCCCATATAAGAAGCTACACCAAGTAAGAAGTGTAGAACAATTAGTTCATAAGGACCCCCATTATATAACCATTCATCAATGGATGCCGCTTCCCATATTGGGTAAAAATGTAATCCTATAGCTGCAGAAGTTGGAATAATGGCACCTGAAATAATATTGTTTCCGTAAAGCAGAGATCCAGAAACAGGTTCACGAATACCATCAATATCTACTGGTGGAGCAGCAATGAAGGCAATAATAAATACAGAAGTTGCGGTCAATAAAGTCGGGATCATCAAAACACCAAACCATCCAATGTAAAGACGATTTTCAGTGCTAGTTATCCAATTACAGAAACGACCCCATAAGCTTTGGGTTTCGCGTCTCTCTAAAACTGCAGTCATGATCAATTCTTGGTTGATTTTATAATCAGGGACTCCCAAGCACACGAAATAAAAAAAAATAGAATAAATTAAAGGCTTGTTATTCAACAGTATAACACGACTTAGATATTCGTGTCAACCAATAGAGCTATCTAATTTGATTCCGCCCCCTTTTTTTAAGTCAAGCAAATTTTCTCCATTTAATTTAAGTATGACGATTTGGTACTCATAATTACAATCTGGAACTTGTTAGTTCGAGTAAAGAATATATTTTTTTTTTAATATTTTTGTGAATAAGCGTTCCTATATATATATATAAATTATATATAAATTATCTGTAGTCAATTTTAAAAAAGTTAAAACTAAGCTTACCCTTTAATTAGACTTTTTAAGAAAGATTTACGATCAAATGGAAAAATAAAACTTTTTGCCTCTATTAATAATTTTATAATTTGGTAAAAATTTGAATTTGACAAGATGCATGAATTTTTAAAAATTAATATGCTCTTCGATACAAACAATATCAAAATACCAAATCCGCCTTTTATAAACTCGCCTCAAATTTGAAGAAGCCTTTGAAAACGTGAAATTAAAAATTTGTTCTTCCGATGTAAAAAATTCTTCTAAAAATTCCGAGCCCAAGCTTTTTAAAAAATCGCGTACAGTACTTTTGTGTTTCCGAGCTAGAGTTCGAGCACAAGAAAGCCTAAGTATATACTTTATTTGATACAAACTGGTTTTTTTGGAAGAACCACTATAATAATGAATAAAATTTCGACATATCCGCCCAAACCTTTTAATAATCTCAGAATCTGAGAAGTCGGTCCAACCCGGTTTACTAATGGGATTCCCAAGTACATTACAAAATTTAGCTTTAGCTAGGGATCTAAGGATAGGAATAATTGGAACAACAGTATCAAATTGATGAATAGCATTTTTTATTAAAAATGAATTCTTTAACATTTGACTTCGTATTATTGAAGGGATTACTACAATACTTGAAAGATAATCCATAAATGAAAAAGAATGGATGGATAATTGATTTCTATTTATTCTTCCAGTATGGAACCAAAGAGAAAAATAAGATTCCCAAAATTTTACAATATAATAGTTCCATTTTGATATCAAAAGAAACGTTTCTTTTGATGCCATAATTGACTTTCCCCTATACCTACCATAATGCATTGAAAGATCCGGAGCCTTTAACAAACGGATACTTGCAGAAAAATCCTCATTAAATACTTCTAAAAGGCATTCGATTTTTCCATAGAAAAGATTCCTTTCCAAAAGTGCTCGAAAACTGATTGCTTTTAAATGAAGAGACTGGTTGCGGAGAAAGACAAAAACGGATTCATATTCATATAAATAAGAGTTATATAAAAAGAAGAAAAGCCGCTCAGGTCTTTTTGTCAAAATGTAATGGGACCTATTGGGAGTATTCAAATTTTGAAAATTGTAAAACTCATATAGAAAGAAGCGTAATAAATGTAAAGAAGAAGCCTCTTTGACCCAATACCGAATTATTTGAACCACGATTTCCAGATGAGGGGGGGAGGGAATTAGTAGATCTAATACCAAATTTAAATGTGATAAATTGTCTTCAAAAAATGGAAATATGGAATGAATTGACCGTAAACGTAAATTATTAGATTTTAAGAGTTTTTTTTTTTTGCGCTCTGATATGAATCTTAAATAAGACGGAATTTCCAAAATAAAAGCAAAAACCTCAGCTAACTGGTTACAATAGAACAACTTGCTGGTTCTAAAAATTTGACTTTTTTTATAATAACAATTAGTGAGCTGTATCTGTTGATACATTTGAGTAATTAAGCGTTTCACAATTTGAAAACTAAATTTTTTTTTATATACTATATTTTCAGCAGAAATTGACCCTTTTAAACCACTTAAAGCACGATCATGAACAAGGACATAAATATACTCCTGAAATAAAAGTGGATAAAGGAAATTCTGTTCTTTCGATCTCTCTAGTTGTAAATCTATTTTAAGTTCCTCCTTTTTTTATACAAAAAAACCATAACTATAACTATATAAACTATATACATCAAAATCTCTTTCTATTACAAAATAGCATTATTTAGATCATATGGAACAAATTCACTGCTATAAAGCCAATAACCTATTATTTTATTTATAAAAAAAAATGGTGGATGTAACAAGATAACGGATCTTGGTTTTCATCTTTAAAGTGACATGTTGATTTATACCACATCGTTGCAAACCACGTTGGACCATAATATTCTTTCTTAGAATTTGGAACCAATATGTACTTGATTAAATCAGGGAATCTTTAATAGTCATAGGTTCTAGTATTGGTTTGAGTTGTCTCTAAACATACTATCCTTTTAGGTTTTCTATATATTTTATTTAGGTAGATAGATTATTTTCTCTCTATTATTTCTATCTCAATAGACTATTTCTATTCGATAGAAATAATAAGATCAAAAAGATTTGGGACGGAAGGATTCGAACCTCCGAATTCCGGGACCAAAACCCGTTGCCTTACCACTTGGCCACGCCCCACTTCAACACTTCAAAAATTAAATAACCATTTTATTTTTGTCTATTGAATTTAAAATGGATATCAATTTGATTCTATGGTTCTGGTTTTTTTTATGTGTTAATTTATTTCTTTTGTATATTATTATATTGTCTATATTCTATTATAGTGTATTATAAATATTGAAATATTTCTAGTCATTGTGAAGGGTTCAATTAAAAAGAGGAATCAATATTTTGCGCCCGCCCTACGAATTCAATATAATGTTTTTATATTAATTTTATAAAAATCATATCTTAATAATTCATTATCAAAAAAAACATGTCTTTTATGCTTAGTTTTATCTGTCTTAATTCTGTCTTCTATTCAAGTAGTTTTTTATTCGGCAAATTGCCCGAATCTTATGCTTTTTTGAATCCAATCGTCGATTTTATGCCAATAATACCTGTTCTTTTTTTTCTTTTAGCTTTTGTTTGGCAGGCTGTTGTTAGTTTTCGATGAAATACTTAATTAAACAAATTGAGTAAAATAAGAATAAGAACTTCCTTGCTTTTTAAAGCTTTTTTTTATAGTAAAAGACTCTACTAGGATTAGGACCATTCCCCATATTTAATTTGGTAAACTCTTATTTCAATTTGATTTATGAAATTTTTTTCTTTAGAAAATTAACTCTATTTCAACTTTCTTTCTTGGTACCTTATAGTACCTATGTGGTCTCAAAATAGAAAATATATTCTATTTATTTTTTTTTCAATAAAAAATATTGGAGGTTTGTAATGCTTACTCTCAAACTCTTCGTATACACAGTAGTCATCTTTTTTGTTTCTCTATTTATCTTTGGGTTCCTATCTAATGATCCAAGGCGTAATCCTGGACGTGAAGAATAAAATAAAACGAATTTGCAAATAAAAAAAAAAAAAAAAAGAAATAATACGATCCACAAAAATGGAAAGAGAGGGATTCGAACCCTCGGTACGAAAAACTCGTACACCGGATTAGCAATCCGACGCTTTCGTCCACTCAGCCATCTCTCCAAATTTTATTTAGAGAATTCTTATTTTATAATAAACATAGAACTAAGTAATTTTTTTTATTTTGATTATGCTTTTCAATCTATTATTTAAATATTTTTATTATATTATTTTATAAAAATCTAAATTAAGAGTTATAAGATGTTTTGTTTTGATTTTTTACTCAATTATTTAAATGTTGAAAAGGCTATTCTTGTTCGCACGGCCCGGTCCTTACTCAACCGGGCGTTGTTTTCTAAGGAAGTAGAAAATCATTTTGAATTTCATATTGAATAAAAATGGAATAAAAAAATTATTATTTGATTATTATTTGAAAGATTTATTTGGAGATGCTCATTAATGAGAATATTTTTAAAGGGGAATAGGAATAGACAATAAAAAAAAGATCACCTAGAATCCGATCTAATTATTTATTGTTACAAATAATTTTGAGGGGTAAGACGCAAAAAAGAAGCACCAAAGCGTCCATTGTCTAATGGATAGGACATAGGTCTTCTAAACCTTTGGTATAGGTTCAAATCCTATTGGGCGCAATTTTTCCATATCTTTCTATTGTGTTTGAATTTTTTGATTGAAGTACTTATTTAAAGTTTTTCTTGAAGTAGAAACCGATCCTTTTGGTCCGGAATAGCTTTTTTCAAAAGGGCTTCTGCTTCATCGGTAAATGTATTGGTAGACGATATGATTTCTTGGAACTGAGGTTTATTAGTTTTGAAGTAAGTATATAACTCAATAAGAAATTTGCTGATCTGTCCAAGTTCTAATGAATCAAGATACCCATTTATTCCAGCATAAATAGTAATAATTTGCTCTGCCCGCCGTCAGAGGAGCGGATTGGGATTGTTTAAGCAATTCGCGCAATCGTTGACCTCTTGCTAATTGATTTTGACTAGCTCGATCAAGATCAGAAGCAAATTGGGCAAAGGCTTCTAATTCAGCGAATTGGGCGAGTTCTAATTTTAATTTACCAGCTACCTTTTTCATGGCTTTAATTTGAGCTGCAGACCCCACTCGGGAAACAGAGATACCCACATTAATAGCAGGTCTTATTCCAGCATTAAATAGATCGGCGGATAAGAATATTTGTCCATCAGTAATAGAAATTACATTAGTAGGGATATAAGCAGAAACATCTCCCGATTGCGTTTCTACTATAGGTAAAGCAGTCATACTGCCCTCCCCTAACTTAGAACTTAATTTAGCGGCTCTTTCTAAAAGACGTGAGTGCAAATAAAAGACATCTCCTGGGTAAGCTTCGCGACCAGGTGGTCTACGTAATAGAAGAGACATTTGGCGATAAGCTTGGGCTTGTTTGGAGAGATCATCATAAATGATTAAAGTGTGTTTTTTCACGATACATAAAATATTCAGCTATAGCTGCTCCTGTATAAGGAGCGAGGTATTGAAGTGTAGCAGGGGAATCCGCCATTTCGGCTACCACAATAGTATATTCCATGGCTCCCTTTTCTTGTAAGGTAGTTACTACCTGAGCCACAGAAGATGCTTTTTGACCAATAGCTACATAAACACATATTACATTTTGACCCTGTTGATTTAGAATCGTATCCGTAGCTACTGCTGTTTTACCAGTTTGTCTGTCTCCAATAATTAATTCTCGCTGACCACGGCCTATAGGGATCATTGAATCGATAGCAATGAGTCCAGTTTGAAGAGGCTCATATATGGAACGACGCGAAATAATCCCTGGAGCGGGGGATTCAATTAATCTAAATCCAGAAGATGAAATTTCGCCCCTCCCATCAATAGGATTTGACAGGGCATTTATAACACGACCCAAATAGGCTTCACCCACTGGTATCTGAGCAATTCTTCCTGTTGATTTTACAGAACTTCCTTCTTGTATCATCAATCCGTCACCCATTAATACAACACCAACATTGGTGGATTCCAAATTGAGAGCAATGCCAATTGTACCCTCTTCAAATTCTACTAATTCCCCTGCCATTACTTCACCAAGACCATGAATACGAATAATGCCATCGCCTACTTGAAGGACGGTACCAGTATTGACAATCTTTATCTCTCTATTATATTTTTCAATACGCTCACGAATAATATTCCTAATTTCATCGGCTTGGATCGTTCCCATGATTCGTTCTTAAATTATTCTTATAAAAAAAAATAATACCTCCGCTAGAAAATTAAAGACTAATCTTTTATTTCTTGAAGTGTGCTCAACATGCGGATATTGGTACTAATAGTACGTAAATGCAACTCGGTGTTCAAACAACAAGTCAGAGTTTCTAGAGCTCTTTGTAAGGCTTGTTGGAAAACCTGTTGTTTTACTTGATGAATAGCTCTTTCCTGTTCAAATAGAATAGTTTCATTTTTATCATTTTCAAATTGTTCTAAAATATTAGAAGTTGAATTAAGCAAATTCAAATTTTCTCGTTTTATTTCAGAGTATCCATTCAGTCGAAACTCCTCGGCTTGCCTTTCTACTTTAGATAAATGAGCTTGGGCTTTTTCTAGTTTTTCAATAGACCTCCCACGCAGTTCTTCTGAATTCTGAATAGTATTTAAGATCCTATTTTTTCGGTTATCTAATAAATCACTTAATGAAAGTAGATTTTTTTTTGCTTTGATTTCAAAACAGAAAAACACCCTTCCCGAACCAAACATGAATCTTTCAATTCATTTGGCTCTCAAGCTCAATTCCTTCAAATCAAACTTCATAAGAATTATGATATGTTTTTTTGGTTCTTTATTACTCCATTGAGCTTATCCTCTCTTCCTTCTTCTTTATCTTTGTTAATATTCCAAACAGATGAGGACTCTTCTAACAAAACAACCAAAAAATCGGTAATTGTCAGCAAAGTTATTTTTTTTTTCAAAAGATTTTATTACTTATTTATAAACACAGGCCGTCAATTTAGCATTGGATTTGGATAAACAGGGGAAATTTCCCTTCTTTGTGAAAAATTAAAAAATAAAGATTAAGGGGTTCCTTTAGTTTAATCAATATGAGCATCCTCTATTGATCAAATATTATTTTTGAAAATATCTCTATAATGAACATAGTGATAGAAAGAGTACCATATAGTGCCTTGACTTCAAATGATTTTTTTAACCATGTTCATAGTATCATAGTCTTGGGTGAGAGAGAATCAAAGTTGATTTACCAGTAAATGACGAAATGCTATGGTTCTTACAGAGAATTTATTTATTCAGAAGTAATTCGCGAGATAATGCACCTCTTTCTCCGAGTTTTCATAAAAATAAAGAGTAAGAGTACAGCTGGTTAGTCCAGCCTATTCCTGAAATAAACAACTCGCACACACTCCCTTTCCAAAAAAGACCAATACTCCAAGAACTACACTTAGATTTATTAGATTTGTTGCTAAAATATCGGTATTCCACCCGAAACTCCCAACAGATGACCAGTGGCCCAAAGAAAGGAAAGAATCGGTTACGCTTTTCATAAATTCTCCTCTTTTATAGTATAGACTAAAATAAAACAACACTCTTTACTTCACTTTGTTTTTTATTTCTATTTTATTCAATTTATGAAATAAATAATAAATAAATCTTTAGAACTTCTTAATTAAATATTAAATAAGATTAAATACACATTCTATTTTAGTGTATTTTGCGGATCTACTAAGCCTCACTAAAAAAAGTAACCTTAAACTACGAGTAAACTACGAGTGAAAAGGATGAAAGCAATTAAAATAGAATAAGTATTATTATTTCGTGTGTATCATAAGGTTTTTTTCTCAACCAATAAAGTAATACCAAGAGGCATTTTTAATAGAATTTGAAAAAAAAAAAAGCCTCAAGAGTCTCTTTATTAGTCTTACCATTCTAAATTAAACAAAAGGATTCGCAAATAAAAGTGCTAATGCAACAACCAATCCATAAATTGTTAAAGCTTCCATAAAAGCTAGACTAAGCAATAGAGTGCCCCGGATTTTTCCCTCCGCCTCAGGCTGTCTCGCGATCCCCTCTACAGCTTGACCCGCGGCGGTCCCTTGACCAATTCCGGGTCCAATAGAAGCAAGTCCTACGGCCAAGCCAGCAGCAATAACGGAAGCGGCAGAAATAAGTGGATTCATTAGTAATTCCTCGTAACAAAACGTAACAAAAAAAGAAATCGTTAATGATATAATGAATCAATTAGGCCCTCATTAGCCATTAGTTCATTTTATCCATTTTCAAAGTAATTAATATTAATGATGATCCCCTATGGATTCACCTATATACGCCGCGGCTAGGGTTGCAAAAATAAGAGCTTGAATACCACTTGTAAATAATCCAAGAAGCATGACGGGTATCGGAATTGCTGAAGGGACTAAAGAAACAAGAACAACAACTACTAATTCATCAGCTAAAATATTACCGAAAAGCCTAAAACTAAGTGATAAAGGCTTTGTAAAATCTTCTAAGATGTTAATCGGTAAAAGGATCGGAGTCGGTTTTATATATTTAGCGAAATAACCTAATCCTTTTTTTGAAATACCCGCATAGAAGTATGCCGCTGACGTAATTAAAGCCAAAGCCACAGTAGTATTTATATCATTCGTGGGTGCGGCTAACTCCCCATGAGGTAATCTAAGTAGTTTCCAAGGTAAAAGAGCCCCGGACCAATTAGAAACAAAAATAAATAAAAACATCGTACCAATAAAAGGAACCCAAGGGCCATACTCTTCTCCAATTTGAGTTTTACTCACATCTCGAATGAATTCAAGAACATATTCAAATAAATTCTGACCCCCATTAGGAATGATTTGTGGGTTGCGAACAGCTAGAGTAGCAGAACCAACTAAGATACCAATTACAACCCAAGAAGTGATAAGTACTTGGCCGTGTACTTGGAAATTCCCTATTTGCCAATATAAATGTTGACCCACTTCTACACCAGATATCTCGTATAACCCCATGGGGTAATTGCTAGAAAAAAAAAAAAGATTCATATTACCCCCTTAATTATTTTAATGCCAAAATCTATTTGTCTAATTGAATTGGATCTTGTCCTTTTTAATAGAATAATAGAAACAAATCAAAAAATCTAACTTATGAAAGGAATCTATGTTATTTTTGAAGTAAGTTTTTTATTAGTTATTTTTTAATTTCTTTATCAAGAATTTTTTATATAGCTAAAACGGCCCTCACAAATTGCAAATATTAATTTGTTAAGAATCAATCGAATTGAAGAGATAGCGTCATCATTTGCTGGAATTGAAATGTCTGATAGATTGGGGTCGCAATTAGTATCGATTAAACAAATTGTTGGAATTCCTAAAGTTATACATTCTCGCAAGGCTATATATTCTTTGTGCTGATCAATAATGATTACAATATCGGGTAAGCCTGTCATATATTGAATTCCACCCAGATATTTTTGGAAACGAGCTAATTGTCTTTTGAGCACAGTTGCATCTCTTTTTGGAAGATGATGGAACCCCCCTTTTTTTTGTTCCATTCTCAAGTCCCTAAACTTCTGAAGTCTTGTTTCTGTGGTGGACCAATTCGTTAACATACCGGCAAGCCATTTTTTATTAACATAATGACATCGGGCCTTTATGGAAGCTCGGGCTACTAAATTAGCTGCTTTATTGTTAGTACCCACAATTAAAAAATTTTTTCCTCTATTTGCTGCATCAAAAACCAAATCACAAGCTTCCGATAAAAAACGAGCAGTTACGATCAGATTTATAATATGAATATCTTTACGCTTTGTAAAAATAAAAGGTGCCATTTTAGGATTCCATTTCCTAGTACCATGACCCAAATGAACTCCAGCCTGCATCATTTCTTCTAAATTGATGTTCCAATATCTTTTTGTCATTTAAATAGATCCCCCCATTTTAGATTCTGTTGAAGAAAAAAATTAACGAGGAATTTTGAATTGAATTAAAAACTTGTTCCAACGGAACCTTATCCTCTATAGTCATCTATACTAAATTATACTAAAATACTAAAATTGCCGATATATATAGAATATATACGCCCCAATAATTCTTATTTTCTATTTTTCTATTGCTAAATAAACCGGCGAGATTGAAAAAGCGTACAAGATATTAATTTGCTATTAGGAATCTTTCTAAATCCTATCAATTATGTGATATCTTGCGGAGTTTTTTTGAAAGGAACTATTTAAAAAGTTTTTTGTGGGGAGACAAAATATCTCGAACCCCCGCCTTAAATAGATTGTTTTTTTGTTTTTGGAAATAACTGTTATTATATTGTTTTGAGGGGTGGACTAATGCTCTGAATCCAGTCCCGGCCGGTATAACCCCACCCAAAACAACATTCTCTTTCAAGCCTTTCAACCAATCGATCCGCCCCCCGAGAGCTGCTTTTGCTAAAACCCGAGCAGTTTCTTGAAAACTCGCTTCCGATATGAAACTTTGAGTATGGAGAGATACTTTTGTTATTCCCAATAATATGGCTCGATAATAAATAGGTTCTTCTAAAGCACGCCCCATCCGTTCTGCCCGCAACAATTCAATAAGTTCTCCAGGCGAAAAAACATTAGACATTCCATCTTCTGAAACTAAAACTTTT